GGGGGGGCTCAGGCAGCAAGTCCCATTATTACGGCCGTGTGAGCTGGGGCATATCACACATGTGACACACTGCAAAATTCTTGCAAAGAATTTTCAAGCATTGTAAGCAAGTTTGCATTGCAAACTATTTTCTTCGTAAGTTGTGAAAAAATGGTTTGCAAGGTTACGAACTAATTCTTTGCAGCATGTGACGAACGATTTTCTTCGTAAGGTGCGAAGAATTAGTTCGCAATGCGAAGGATTTAGTTCTCAATGCCAAGCATTTTACAACGCTTTGAAAATTCTTTGCAATGCAAAGAATAGTTCTTCGCAAGCTTTTTACAGTGCAAGTAATAAAGTAAAATAAAAGATTTTTTAATACTATTGACGTAGTAGTATAGGCGTATGTTGTAGTTTTGCCAATACTATGAATAATATTGATTTTATATTTTGTTAGTGTGTGTAATATTGATGTAATATATGTGGTCATTTCAGACCGCCCAGCCAGAACTGGCATGTCGTAACGCCGTCATTTCGACGTCGTTGTTCGAACCAGAGGTCCAAATATACGTCGAAACGATGAATTTTTCGACGAGTCGATGTCGATTCGACGGAATATCGATACGAAGTTTCTGACTGGGCGGTATACGAAGGTATATCGGAGTTGGCGAACTATCGGGAACACTGATAGATAACGTGTTCAACTGGCGTGCACATGCAAGCGCTCAACACTATGTTGCACAAACTTTTAAGTGTTTCACTGGATGTTTAAATTTTATAAATGGAGTGATACTTTCTCATACCAAATGGTGTGAGGTATTTTGCCTAACACCATTTGGTGTTAGACTGTCTCACACCCGAGTTTCCAGAGTATGTACTGTGGGGTGGGGTGGCATACCCTTGGTCCCACAGGCACCGAGCTCCCGTAATTTACCGACCGAAGAACGAGGAAAAACGGAGGTACTTTCTTTGCGGTCCCTAAGATAAACGAGTTCGTTTCTCAGTGTCGTTGTACATACAAAGTGCGATTCACTTTGAATATTAACATAAATGTTTGCTGGTAATTTCGAACATTGTTTTCTTTCTACGTTTTTTTACAGCGATAGAAATATCCCAGCAGTAACGGATCGGGCTGCCATGCGGCAGACGGGGAGAGCGCGGCCGAGGGAGCAGACGGACTCAAAGCAAAGCCCCCCCTTCTGAAGCACCCCGCCCCACCATGGACCTGTCGCAGAGGTTCTTGCGCAAGCCGCCGCCCGCCGCTCCCGACCCTGAGGCGCGCCCCGTGCCCCGCCCACTGGACCAGCTCCACCAGCTCCAGCAGCGCGGCGCCCTGCCGGCCCTGCCCTGCTACGCCGACCATCCCGGGGTGCAGCTGCAGCATCAGCTGTCCCACCTGCCGCATCGGAGCCAGCTGCCACAGCCACACCCCTACCAGCTGCTCCCGGTGGACCCGCTCCGCCCCCACCCCCTGCACAGCCTTCAGGACTACCAGCACCCCCTCCTGGACCCCGGCACGCCCGGCCCCACCGGGCCTCCCGGGCCTCCCGGGCCTCCCAGCCACAGCTACGACCTACAATGGCCGCCCACAGAGAGAAGCCAGTGGCGGCGGTGGCGGCTGCAACAGCTGCAACAGCAAAAGCTGCAGCAACAGCAGCTGCAACAGCAGCGGCAGCAGCTGCAGCACCAACAACTGCAGCAGCTACAGCAGCAACAGCTGCATCAGCAACAGCTGCAGCAGCAACAGCTGCAGCAGCAGCAACACCTAAGGAAGCAGCGCCAAATAAAAAAGCAGCAACAGCTGCACCAGCAGCAGCGTCTCCACCAGCAGGAAGAGCTTCAGAGGCAGCGCGAGCTCCATAGCCAGTTGAAGGAGCAGCAGCTGCAGCTGCAGAGGCTGCAGCGGGTGCAGGCCCCCCCGCCTCAGGCGCCGTGCCTATACGGAGCGCCCCCACTCCCCGCTCCGCTACCGCTGCACTTTGGCTCGCCGCGGGGCTCCGCCTTCCGTAGAGGTGAGTGCACCGCGTGAAAAAGTATCCTCGTAGATTAATAACAGCACTGTTAAAAAAGTTGTGAAATTTCATATCAGAATCAGTTGTAAAATTGCAAACGTGGTTGGGAAATTTCATAACATTGTCAATTTTGCAATTAGTTGTTAAAATTCATAACGGTTTTCGGAAGATTCTAATCTGTCTTCTGAAAATTAGGAAACATTTGTAATTTCACAATTTGCGATTGTGAAATTGTGATCACTCTATCGTAAATTTGAGATCTGATTGTAATTTTCCGATTGCAGTTTGTAATTTTGCGAAGTAAAACCAAATGAAACAGCACAAGTCCCTTACCAGATTTACTAAAGCAGAACGAACGTCCACACTTTCAAGCCCGTTGTGACTTTCATACGACTTTCATACGACGAAACAGTGACTGCACTTCAAAGAACTGCCGCCAGATGGCGTTGTGGTCAGCGCGTCTCTTCCAAAAGCAATTATTAGTATTTAACTAAAATTTGCACAAGAAACTGACATGTATTTATGCGCGGTATGATCTGTAACACAATGCTGTAGCTGGCTACGCATTTGTTTTTGAGCAAAAAGTCACGCAAGTGCCCCAAATAATTGGTCTAATTCCAGCGCGCGCCGGTCCCCGCTACCTCTCCTTAGTTAGGTACGGCGCTGTTCACACCCAATGAGTAGGGGGCGCCTGGCGCGCTCCCGTATTTTTGATGTGCCGATACCCTCAGAGGTGACTGACTCTCCTCCAGCCCTATCAGCGTACCCCAGACGGTTTGCAGTTCACCTACTCCATGTTCATGGAAAATTACTTTATTCTTATAAATCTGGATGTTTTGAAAATTCACATAAACATTCTTAATTTTCAGATCGGAGATTCTGAAATTTCAAAACACGTTTGCAAATTTTTTTACAATTGTTTTAGTTGGTAATTTTACAAACATTGAATTGCGTAAAAAGTTGCCAACAAAATTTGTAAAATTACAATCGATTTTTTTAACAGTGAGCCACCACTTTGTTTGTACAGACGAGGGTGTGATCCCCATGTAATCCGTGTGTATTCCGAGTAATCCTTAACCAAATTTTGAAACATGATCACTAAATTTTGCCTAATTGTCCGAATTCAACAAAATGCATGTGTAATCCCTCGAAATTTACTGTATTCGACTTCCCCAACTTTTTTTCAAGTTACAGTCTGTTCTGTAAGACACGGACCGTAACCAAAAATTACGGTGCCGGACCAGGCAACAAATTTACAGCGCAAACCGTGGGCCTTTACCGTTTTTTGTTCTAACAGTGTCTAGGTGTAATCCCTGTTATCGCGTTATCCTGTGTACATCCTCAATCAAAGTGGTGGCCCCCTTAAAATTTAAATTAGTTGAAATTTTCATTTGCAAAATTTGTCGTAGATTTGCGACAACCCAGTCTTGCTTGTCGATCGATTCCAATCCGCTTCAAAGTTCTTCTGCACTGTAAATGGGAAATGACAATTTTGTATCCGTAGTGAGGATGCGTTCTGAAGCACATCTAAAAAAGATTTGGCTCTGAACTAGACAGATAAGTTGTTTGTACCTAGGCTAGGTACAAATTGTAAACTTTCCAGGTAAAAATCTGCGTCTATTAAAGATGTGCTGAAGAACGTATATCCTCGGTTGATACATACTGTCCTTTCCTATTTATAGTGTAAATTTGCAATATCAAATTGTAATTTTACGACACGGACATGAAAAAATTTCCCAGTAAACCTCCTACAAAATTTTCACATAGCGCAGTAGAAGGTGGCGGGCTTATTTCGTTGTGTGTGCCCACAGTTGGCCAGAGTGGCCCTGCTCCCCTGCTGGATCGCCCCACCCCCACCGGCCACGAGCGAATGCCTCCGCAACCTCCAGTCCTCGTGGAAAAGGTAAGACCCAATACTAGTCGCTAATTATTGTACACGGGCACGGGCGCATGCAGCGCACCGATCGAAGAACGCCATGCAGATATGGGGAAAAGACAATAATTGTGGCCCAATTATCCGAGGAAGGGTGCGACCGAGTGGGGCTTCGCTCGTATACACCCATTTTACTTGGGACCAAACTCTTTCTTTCTTTTCTTCTTTTTTTCTTTCTTTTTTTTTTTTTTTTGATAACGTTTTCTAAGAAAATGTTACAATATGTAACAGCTCGCATTAAAATTGTCCTAGTAAAACTGGTACGTTCAATTATCCCAAGCATTGTGTGCATAAAATCGCGTCCTTTCTTTGGACAAAACCGTCCCCTCGCGTTAACTTGTTTTGTTTTTTTTCAACTTGCGAGCATTTTTGAAGTAAAGCATAGACCTTCTGAGCCACTTGGAGCGCGTGAGCAGGCAACGCCCAGATTTTTCTTTCAACGACTTGTTTCGGCGTATATTCGATTTTAAGTGGCTAAGCCCGGCACAACGGCTTGCGGGCCAGGCATACTCACTTATAATCGGATATACGCCGAAATACATCGTTGAATGACAAAAGTGGTTACATTTTCGGATTCAGCGTAACAAAATCTAGCTGCAAGTGTTTTCCGTTTTTAGAATTGCGTCCGATTTTAAGACAAATCTGGAATTGTAGCCAGTCAGTCTGTGACGTTGCGCTCCGAGCGGCTCAGAAGGTCAATTGCAAACCACTTAGTTCTCAAACGATTTTCAGAAGTATAGTGCCAAGAGAGCTAAACTGAAGAGCTAGGTATGATAATCTTCTACTTCGAGGTCAATACGGGTTGGTGATCCGCGCCGTGGTTTTTTCTGCTTATACTGTACCGGATTCATGCGTGCGGACGGGTTGCATAGTCGCACGGGGCCATAAGGCGCCTTGGCGAGCGACGATAGGCAAGCCCGCCCGCACGCGTGAATCCGGTACAGTATAAGCAGAAAAAAACCACGGCGCGGATCACCCACCCTGTATGCCCGGCCCCCGTAGCCGTGTCCATCTGGGTGAGCCGTGCACATGAAATCCTTATGCACTGCGTTGTGCATAAATATGCAGAATTTTGCACAGCCATGATATTATGCACAATTTGTGCACAATTTGGCATAAAATTTGTGCATACTTATGGCTGTAAAAAATTCTGCATGTTTGTGCATAATAAAATGTATAAAGGGTTTAGCGTGTGCAAGGCCCTCAAGAGTGTGCCTACTACTATAGGCACGCTGTTGTAACAGTCGACAGTCGACCGAGGGATCGGCCAGAAAGTACGTTCTTTTTTTCTCAGATTTATCCGGCACATCACGGGAGCTCAGCCCCTGCGAGACTTAGGGTAGGCCAACCCGCAATACACCCAGGCACTGCAGACAAGGTGTTGCCTACCTATCAGGTGCTTTACAGCGTGCCGGCTGGACTAGGCAGATTTTTAACGTCGACTGAGGGACACATTTTCTAGATTATCACGGTAAAAACAATGTCTCATATTTTGAGGGAAAAGGGAAAACTGGGAAAACTTTAAGGGACTTCCAGGAAAATACGTTATAATTCCCCGATCTCGCCTCAGATTTTGAGGAATCTTCTCAACTACAAAAAAGAGGAAAAATCCCACATTTTTTGAGGAGACTTCCTCGAAATCTGAAGAGTTTTCGTCAAACCAGGGGAGTTCCTCACAGTTTTCCCTTTACCCTCAAAAAATGAGACATTGTTTTTTACCGTGATTCCCAAAGCCTTAGGGCAGGGGTCTCAAACTCGAGCTATCCGCCGAGCCTCGCCTGCATAGGCCACACGCCTTACAAGCTCTTCGGCAAGAAGAGTGAGCGAGATAGATGTTGTGGTGCCTCAGCGACTGACCCGTGCTGCTGTCGCCGCCGGCTAGCTTTGCTCGGCGCTCGGTGTCGCCGGCCAGTGTGTCTGTCTTTGTCACTCCCAATGGCGCCTCAATGAGTGAGACAAAGACAGACAAACACACTGGGCTAGCGAGCGAGCGGCGTGTGTCCAGCGACAGACGACGGCGGCTGGGTCCAGCTCAGCTTCGAGCAACCCGAGCGCGGCTCTCGGGGGCTCGGATCCACCCGAACGCAAGAGGTGCGCGGCTCTCGGCGAGCCGCGCTACCGGGCTAGGCGAGCCGCGCTTGGCTCGGGAGCCGCGAGTTTGAGACCCCTGCCTTAGGGCAACCAATTGGTTGTGCGTGCCTGTCGGCACGCTGTTCCTTGAGTGTGCATGGTCGACTGTTGGCTTTACAGTGCAGAAGTACGTTCCTTTTTTTTTCTAAGATTCATTCGGCTAATTACGAGAGCACGGCGCCTGCGAGACTCGAGGTAGGCCGACCCGCAGTACACACATGCGCTGCAGACAATATGTTTGCCTGCCTACCAGGCGCTTTGAGAGCTTGGACAACTTGGCAGGTTCGTAACGGCGGCGAATGAAAGACGTACTTTCTGGATGATTTCTGGGGCATGCACACTATTGGATTTCCAGTTATGGAATCCGCAATGGTGAACGGTTGGGGCCTGATGGGACGGAAATACCATGGTGGCTGATTAACCCCGCGCACTTCTATAGTTAGACTGTACGGCACGCAGGAGTGCGGGCGGGCTTGCCTATCACAAAAATTACGAGTATTACGGATAATATCAAAGTATTACAAGTATTATAAGGTATTACAAGATATTACAAGATATATTACAAAGGTATTACGAAGTATTACAAGGTATTACAAGGTATTACAAGGTATTACAGGGTATTACAGGTATTACGAGTAACACAAGTAATACAAGTAATACTTGGTAATACACGGTAATTCAGATAATATAAAGTATTACAACGTAATACAAGGTAATATGGCGTAACATTGCTCAAGTAATATGTGGTAATACAAGGTAATACAAAATAATACAAGGTAATACATGGTAATACACGGTAATACACGGAATACAATTAATATCAGGTAATACAAAGTAATACAGGACCCCGGGACAGAGGAATACACGAGATGTTCACCTGGACGCCGCGGCATGGCACACTCGCTCACCCCAATCAATAACACTTCCCCCGCGCCGCGCCGACACCACCCGCGACGGCGACCTTGGCGTCAATGGACCCCGGCCCGCCGCCCGTCACGCCCCGCCTCACGCCTGCGCCGTGAGGTGTAGGTCCTGTCCCTTATATTATTGATTCCGCCAGAACTTTCAGAAGGCACGGGGTTCTGCCAGTACGACTGTGTATATCCTACTAACAATCTACTTTATGGAGCCCCCCCCC